TGTCAATGGACTTATTTACTAAGTATCTTTTTGTATCCTTGATTTTTTTTTGCCCAGCATTGTAAGATTCATTCATGTGGCATGAAGTAATTCTGTTTAGTGCTATGGTGTACTGTACTGTGTGACTATACTCTAGGTTGTTGATCTACTAGTGTGATGAACAAAGTGGGTGATGCCATTTGGAGGCCTATGGAATGATTCAGAGGGAACTATAAGAGCACATGTGTATACTTTATTCTGGATTATGGGTGATAGCACAAAATATTTTAATTGCCACGGGGCACTGAGAAATTTTTTTCCCTTGAAAAGTAGACAATTGGCCAAATAATTTTGCGAACCTAAGATCTATTCTTCCAGGAGCCCTGGTGTCACAGTGGTGGCACACTGGGCTTCTAGCCATAGTTCAGAATTTCAAAACTGCCAGCCACTCTGTGGGAGAAAGACGAGCTTTTCTACTTCCATGAAGAGTTAGTCTTGGAAACCCATAAGGGGCAGTGCTACACGGTGTCTGTGAGTCCGAATGGACTTGGTGTCAGCGAGTTGTGTTCTTTCGGGGTTTTTATTTTATTGCATCATCTATTCAGTGTTGATGGATATGTTTATTGTTTTCTAATTTTAAGCTATTATAAATAGTAGTCTTATGAGCATTCTTGTACATGTGTGGTTTTTTTATAATGCATATTGGAATAAGTGACAAGGTATTGCTACTAGAGTTCAACTGTTAATGCAAACAAAATGTGTTTGACCATGTCTCTGTGATCAGTGGAAAGCTACAAATTCCCTCAGGACTAACACTTGTCTCGGCTCTGTTAGGCTCCTTTCAAAAAGGGATACTTTGTGTGCCATGGAAAAAACGTTATTTTGAGGTCAGGGCTAATGGAAGATTTTTTTACAAAACTCAGGCCGACCTTTTCCCAAATCATTGAAGCTTTGCAGCAAGTGTACAGGAATACTGCGCCACCTAAGGCCTTATTGATGAGCCAAGAAGGGGAAGACTATTAACTTTGACAAATGAAGAAATCGGATGGCATCCAGAAATTGATGGAAGACGACCACAGAATTATGCTGGAGAATAGCTGAAGCAGGGCTACCGCATGTTTCGGCACTTTCAATCTTACGTCAATATTTTGATCCCAGCAGGCTTTTGGCTGGATGGTGTCAGAAGATTTGCGTGAAGGTCAACTAACTCAAAAGAGCTCATCTTCCCATCAGTCAGCATTCATGATCTCTAGGAATGCATTCATGGCCTCTCTACTATGTTGTTTCCATTTAAGACCTTGCTTGTTAATTCAACTGTTATCATTTGTGGAATGCTCATTTCTGTAACTACTAAATAGTCCTGAGTTGGCTTATGGACTAACTGAACAGTGACATATTTACAATATTGACATTTTTTTGTATTTAGCAAGATATCTAATCAGTGTGACTTGCCATGACACCCCATTTCCTGATTCTCAAGAATGCTCTGAACGAATGCATAATCACATCGCTCCTACTGAATTGGTTTTGCAGGTACTCTTTGAGCACATCAAACTCTTCTATTGCTGCTCTGCTCTGTGCCCTGTACCCACACTTCCCAGCTCACAGCACTGATAACCGGTGAGTCTAGTGATAGTTCATGAGAGATTCATGAGAATATGGATTTCAAAGTGATATTTTTTAAATTCGCTAAGGGCATAATGTATATTTTGGTTTTGTGTTAGAAAAGCCAATGGATAAAGCTGCAATGGTTTTTTTCTTTTAAATGGTGAAAATAATAATGTATTGACCACGTTAACTATGTTGGAAGTAGTGTAACCCAGAACGAGTTGTTTTATTTGGTGTTAATACCTACTCTAGGACTCATTTCTAAAGTAGCACTGCTTTTTGAACATTCTTGTCTTCCTGACTCCTAGCTTGTGAAAAATTTCTCTTACAGAATTTTACATCCAAAGAGAGCTTTGGATATCTGATGATGTAACTTTTTTGCAATTCTCAAATCTGTAGGGCTTCTCTAAACCCAAAAGTAGACAGCCCCCTCCCCGGCCAAAAAATGATCTTTCTGGGGAAAATTGCCCAGCAAAGAGTAGTAGCCCAGGGAAGCTAAAGACTGTACCTTTTGTGCGATGGTGTAGTTCTGAAGAATCCTCAAATTAGTGAGAATATTTTATATCTGTTTCTTTTCCTCTCTGTCTCTCATTCATACATGATTACTGAGAACTTTTATCTAAATGATACACCCTATTTCCCCAAAGATAAGACAGTGTCTTATATTAATTTTTGCTTCCAAAGATGCGCTAGGTCTTATTTTCAGGGGAGATCTTATTTTTCCATGAAGAAGAATATGGTATACACATTTATTGTTGAACATCAAAAAAGGAAATTTATTACCTGTACACGGTACGGTAGTAGTTCTCATCACAAACCAGCATAACCAGACAAACTGTGAATCCTACAGTATCAAGAATGTCTAATTGTGAGTCAGCCAGACTCCGTCAGGGCAGAGCAAGCAGCAGGTGGCAGCTTGTCCTGGCGGTGGCTGTGCGGTGGCGCCCGCTGCTACAGTCCAGAGTCCAGAGGTAAGGTAGCCTGAGGGGGCCTTATTATCGGGGAGGTCTTAATTTTGGGGGATGCCTTATATTTAAGTGAGAGGCAAAACTGTAAGTAGGTCTTATTTTCGGGGGATGTCTTATTTTCGGGGAAACACGGTAGAAAGTACAAGAAAAACAAAATGCAGCAGAAGAGCAGAGACAGGTTAGCAGTGGCTGTGAGCAGTAGACTCTAACCATGCAAAAGCGTTCAGGTAATATAGAAGTGCTGCGTCTTGTAGCACAAAGAACTACTGACACTTCAGGGGTTTAGATTTTCCAGAAGTAGTAGCTCTCTGCTGTACATGGAGGGAAGAGAAGACACTCGTTCCATGTGTCCCAGCGACGTCTGAGACAGTGTCACCTGAGGCACACTTACAGCAATCTGCTCAGAGAGCTGTCCTTGCCAAGAGCAGTAGAGTGTATCACCAGTGATAGGTTATCGTTATAGACAACTGTTTTACAAAAGTAGTCTCATCTGAAGTCTAAACTGATGATCGGTGCAACATAAAAATATTGTTCCTAATTTGATGCAACTTTGACATAGACCCCATTGCCTATCAATTTGAGGAAGATTGTTTAAAATTGCTAAAGCTACCACTCCGATATTGATGGACAGTGTTAATTGGTTTTAAAACCAAAAATATAACTCACTGCTATCGAGGCAATTCCCAATTCATAGCAACCTTATAGGCCAGAGTAGAACTGCTCTATAGGGGCTTCCACGACTGTAAGTCTTATTGGGGCAGCCACTATTGTAAGCAAAGCAGTTTGGTGCTAAGCACCAAGGACTTTTATGTAACTGAAAAATACCAGTCTTTCCCGACCTTGATGATTGTACTTTTAAGAGATGATAGAAATGGATAGATTTGGGGTGGGCATAAGGAGGTGATTTTCTACAACTATAATTAAAAAACAAAGTCTCATTTTGTATGTTTTATGGGTTTTTTAATATGAAAACTCAGTGTTTAAATTCTAACCTATCCACTGCTATTAATAAGTAATTTTGATGAGAAAAACGCATGATACTCATTTTACCTTTTTTAATGGAGCCCCCTTTGGACGAGCCTTGGTGGTGTAGTGGTTACACGTTGGCCTACTAACTTCAGGGTCAGCAGTTTGAAACCACCAGGTTATCTGCGGGAGAAAGATGGGACTTTCTACTCCCATAAAGAGTTGCAGTCTCAGAAACTCACAGGGGGCACTTCTACCGTATCCTGTAGGGTCACTATGAGTCGGTATTGATTTGATGGCAGTGAGTTTTTGGTTGATTTTTCAAGGGTCTCTGTGTGTGTACTTGTGTATTAATGTGTACATATAGGAGAGCTTTACTATCTGAGCAAATGGGTACCTTTTCCCTGATGCCACACCAATGCTTAACAAGTAGAAATGCATCCCCCCGAGAAGGTGAAATGATAAGCTGATGTTGAACACACAGATATTTGAGAAGTAACTAGTTATAAGCCAATGACTGAGTATTTTGATGTTAATACCATTTTTACTTACCTATAAAAACTCTTTTAACTGTGAGAACTCAGATAACGAATGCTTGGATCAAGGATCATCCATATGTAATCTTTTCAAGGGAATGTCTTCATTAAAAAAGCTTTTTTAAACAGTTTTCTTGACATGTGATTCAGTCATATAATTGAGTGGTTTAAATTAGAGTTATGCCGTCATCACCACGATCGTTTTAGAGCAGTTTCTTCTTTCTTGTACTCATTATTGTGAATTCCCATTTCCCTCGAGCCGCCCCTGCCAGAGCTCAGTTTCTCTCTCTAGATTTACCTAGTTCTTACTTTCTAATTGCATCTCATTGTCCTCAAGGGTGGTACCCATTGGAAGACGTGACCCCAGCTTCGTCTCCTTCCAGGAGAGCTCATGTTGCCGTCAGTGTTTCTCATGCCCTCTCCTCTCCTGTTCTGTGGGCAGGTATCATCTCCAGGCTCTCCGGCACCTGTACGTCCTGGCTGCAGAACCCAGGCTGCTAGTGCCCGTGGATGTAGATACAGACACACCGTGCTATGCTCTATTAGAGGTTACCTACAAGGTAACTCCTCCCATTGGGATTTGCTTATAATTTTGTTAACACCCATTTATCTCTCCTTGAAACAGGTAAAAATATGTCACAAGCTTTATTCTTTGAAAGGTGGCAGTTGGAGTCCCAACTGGTGGTGCGATGGTTAAAGTAAAATTCTGCTGCTTTGAGCCCACCAGCCGCTCAGGCAGTCTGCTTCCATAAAGATTCACCGTCCTAGAAACGCTATGGGGCAGCGTTGCCGTAGTCAGGGTTGACTCCGTGGCAGTGAGCTTGGGCTAGTGGTAATGGTAATGGCTTTGTGCATTTCCTGTGTCCCTTGAGCTGATCAGTGAATGATGACCCGCACTATAAACAGTGGGAGAAGGAAAAGCACCTTCACATCAGTTTGAAATGTCATTATACTTCTTTATGTTCATGCTGTATAGCTTTGGGGTCTGAGTTCAAGTGGGTGGCACTTTAACTTCATTTTTAGAAGAGGAAATCCCAAAGTTCTTGTGCATCCTTTGAAGCCATTTAGGCTTACCTGTTTTGATTGGCATATCATTTTTGGGAATCATTGACTGTCCTTTTGCCCTTGTAAGTTTGTTGTTTGAAATTGTCCATCTAACTTTAATAGCTGATAACAACGTTCTAAAAGGTTAATTGGGTTGTATAATTGAGTTATATATTCTTGCCCGCACAGAGCTTTAAAGTCTGAATATTCATGTATTTAATGAGAGATCTTCAATATAAGATGTAGAATAGATTACAAGTCATTTATCCTTCCTGGAACCAGCAGATTGTTAAGTACCTTCTGAGTATCCATAAAGGAGCCTTGTGGTATATTGGATTACTTGTTGGGCTGCTAACCTCAAAGTTATCAGTTCAACTCCACGAACCACTCCCAAGACAGAGGAGGCTTTTCTGACCCCTTAAAGATTTACAGCCTCAGAAAACCCGACGGGCCAGTTCAACTCTGTCCTATAGGGTTTACTGTGAATTGGAATTGTCTAGATGGCAGGGAGTTTTGTGTATTCGTGTGTGTAAATGATGTTATCATCTTCCCTAAGGGACCTTCTGTTCATTGGGGAGACTGGGGTGGATGCAATAAGAAGGAGACCTGGAGGTTTGTTTAGCTGCTGGGCTGTGATCTGTATGGTCAGCAGTTTGAAACCACCAACAGCTACGCGAAAGTCTGGGCTTTTTACTCCCATAAATAATTACAGTTTCAGAAACCCATGAAGGGTCGCTATGAGTCAGCATTGATTTGATGGCAATAAGTTTATATTTGGGGGTGGGAGGCGGAGTATGGTGTGAGTAATTGAGGATGTCAGTGGAATGCATGGGAAATTGATGAGAAGTGTCTCCCTCCAGGTGTGGGGACTGGGGAGCCTGTTTCCATGGACACAGTGTTTAGACTACAACTTGCCAGTGGGATGGGCATGTAGCCAGTTCAACAACCCAGAGGCCTATGTTCTCTGGCATGTGAAGTGCAAAGTTTGAAGTGATGGGAGGAAATTCAGGCCATGAAAAGGAATTTAGATTTTAGTCTTTTCAAGTCTTGAGCATCAGATAGGATTTTATACAATGTAGTAGTTTAACAAAAGAAGCAAACAAAAGTTCAAATTCACTGTCATTGAGTCAGTAGCAACTCATAGCAACCCTGCAAGGTAGAAATGCCCCAGTGAGTTTAAGAGATAACTGTTTGGGGGAGCAGAAAGCTCTTTCAAAACAAAAAAAAAAGAAAGCTCTGTCTCTGAGGAGTGGCTGGTGGTTTCAAACTACTGATCTTACAGTCAGCAACCCAGAGCATAACCACTATGCCACTAGGGCTCCCAATAATTTAACAGTCTTTGTACAAACTGTAGGAGAGGAGTGTGTGTAGCGCTGAGATGTTTTTCCTTTGTAGCTTCTCCTGACTACATTGTGAACTGTGGTTTTTTATATTTATAAAGGGCACTCAATGGTATGAGCAAACCAAAGAAGAATTGATGGCTCCTACCCTTCTTCCAGAACTCCACCTTTTAAAGCAGGTGAGTTGGATGTGATTTAGGAAGATCTGTTCACAGGATGAATTCAAATAGAGTAGCATGCGTAGCATTAAAGATAGCCAAAGCCCGTGCCTTACTGGTGTTCTGTGTTAATGGGAAAGCAGCAGGAGGGGTGCAGTCATGAAGAGTGGAGACTGTCTGTAATTGGGGAGCTTTGTCTCAAGGCTAGCCGACCTCGGAGCATGAGTCACAGTTTTGCTTGGAAACGGAGCTTCCTAGCTTCTTGATGCCTGTGTCTAGCTCAGTTTTCGCATTTCCTTTAAGAAGCGTGGGTTCCGTTTCATCAGCTCAGCACTTCTTTCAGCTTTGTCTTGACCGTGTTTGTATTTATCTCGGCAGATTACAGTTAAAGGCCCAAGGTACTGGGAACTGCTTATTGATTTAAGCAAGGGAACACAGCATTTGAAGTGAGTATATTGATGTTCTCAGATATATCAAAATGAATAGAAGTGTTAAAAGATGAAGATATAAAGTATAGGTCATTATCTAGAGTGCTCCTTGTCACTCTGATATCAGCTAGCAGGGCATGGTTGAATAAAGTAATCTATTTTTTAGAAACAAGGTTTGTATTAGAAAATCAAATTAATTTTGAGACTAAATTGAAATATTTATATTTATTCAAAAACTGGAATTAAGTTGACAATAATGATATCTTTTGGGACAATAATGTAAGACTTTTTAAAAAAGGTTTACGTAGATTGCCAAAGGGAGTTTTGCAACAGTGAATATTTCTTAGACCATTTCTGTTTCATCTGCACACCATTCTCTTTATAGAACATCCTCATAAATGTAAGATCACATTTTGGGTAGAGTTAGTTTGCTTTTGTGTACAAGTTATAATATGTACAAAGAATGAACAGTTTTATACCTTTCATAATGTGCAAATTAAAAATGAACACATCTGTAAATGTGTTTTTATAGTTTTGTCCCAATTTATATTCTAACTCTCTATATAATATTTTCTCTAATTATTCCTGTACACTTACAGCACTGTTTTCTTCTGCTGCGAACCAGTCAGTCCATATTTAATAATTCTTAAGTTTCTTGCATAGTGCCAGATGATACCAGGAGTACAAAGATGTGTACGACAAAATACTGCCTGTGACACATATTTTAGCTGCTAGTCAAAATGCCTTTTCATTTCACCCATTCCATGAAGCTGGACACCAATGACAGGTAGCACTTTATTTTAGGCTTTCTCCTAGGCACACAATTACTTGTGGACACTGTGCAAATAATCGTATGCCTTCGTTGGAAATGGTTTTCATAGGAACATGGCATCAGAAAGCACTGTTTTCCTTCCAGAACTACAAACATTGCCTCATATGAAATTCATTCTTGCTTTCTTTCAGATCAATCCTTTCCAAGGACGGGGTTTTATATGTTAAGCTCAGAGCTGGTCAGCTGTCCTACAAGGAAGACCCCATGGGGTGGCAGAGCTTGTTGGCCCAGACTGTTGTTAACAGGAACTCTGAAGCTCGGGCTTTTAAGGTAGAAACTGAAGGATGAGAGGGGATAGTTCCAAATCCCGCTGCCCCCCCAGAGCACATGCTTCTCTGGTTTTGCTTATGATGTCTGTAAGCAATCTGCTTCCCTCTCTCATCGCTGCAAGTTGTAGAGGTCATGGGTCTGCAGCAATTTTAATAAAGTAAGATTCACATTTTAGTTTAATTATTTTATTTACTATTCTTCAAATCAGTCAAGGTCTGTGTAAATCACACCTAAAAATAGGAAAAGATTTTGGTGCTTACATTTTGGTAAGGGCAAAGTTAGAAGTAGCAGTTTGATTTCAATTCACATTACATTTTAGATCAGTAATTTATGTCTGAGCTTCTTAATAGTCCCTGGCTTTAAATATACAGAGGGGCTTCAAAGGTTAGTGGAAAAGTTTCATTATCTTTTCATTACATTGGGAGGAAGGGGAGACTTTTCTATTCCTGTAGAGTTACGGTCTGGAAACCCACGGGGCGTCCGACTTTGCCCTGTAGGTCACTGCAAGGCAGCATTGACTTGAGGGCAGTGCATTTGGGGGGAGGGGCCTTGTTTGTCCCATTCATTCTTGAAGCCTTCTCATATGTGGTTGATACCAGTGAATTGTATTTGGTCATGTTCAGTATATGATCTCTGAAATACTTTTAAAGGATTTTGGACCAAGAGTCACTTAAATTGGCACTGTTGCTTCTCACATAAAGTAGAGGCCCTCTCAAAATACAAATCTAGTGTGCAAAGAAAATAAGCTTGTTTGGATTTGCGATTAGATGGGGAAGTAATACAAAAATTGAAATCATCCTGATTTCATATATTTTGGGAGTTCAGAAGTAAAATGATGAGGGCAATGAATGTACAAATGTGCTTTACACAATTGATGTATGTATGGATTGTGATAAAGAGTTGTATGTACCCCTAATAAAACGATAAAAAAATAATATAAATAAAACTTGATGGGAAATGTTACTACTTTTATATTCCATTTTCATTCTTGAACTTTAATAGTCTCTGTCTCTACCTTATTAGTACAGTTTGCTTTTTAGTCAATGAAGGGAAAGAAAAGCTTGTTTTGGGGTGGGTTGTGTAGGAAAAATGCTTTTTGGTAAATTAGTAGCTTGTGCCAAGTTGTGCAAAAAGCTTCTTGTAACTTCTCAGCAGTTAAAGGTTGATGAAGATTGGCACCACCTGGATTTTATGGTAACAATGTGTGAAAAAAGGGAGTTGGTCTTAAAACTATGAGGATTATCATGTGAGCAGTAAGGGACATAGCCTTTTGTAATATCATTTGCATTTGCTATTTGGTTATTTTCTAGCCAGAAACTATATCAGCATTTACTTCTGACCCAGCACTTCTGTCATTTGCTGAATATTTCTGCAAACCAACTGTGAACATGGGTCAGGTATGTATTACATGAGAGGACTTTAAAATTCTTGTGGAAAAATTCTACCTTTTAGTTCCATTTTCTCGTGGCCATTTTGAAACCCCTTTGTATGGCTTGCTAAAACTCCAGAGCTAAATTTGTTATTATGTCTACCTATGGATTGCCAGAAAACCTACAATATTTGTATCTATTGCAGAAGATTGATGACATCATTCTGATGCACTTTTAATTAGAAAGATGGTTTTTACTTGGCAAATACAGCTTTTGGTAGTCTCAACTGTTACATTCAGTAAGTTCTAAGTTGATCAAAGAAACACCTGAAATAGCCTCAGACACACTGTTTTATAGGTGACGTTTCCTGTGGTCCACTCTTAAACTAATCTGTATTTTCAACGTTTCCCACCACCCTTCTTTTATTGTCACATTATTTCATTCACTTTGTTTTCTATTGATACTATAATCCTTGTTTCTGTTGCTCATAAAACTGTTCTCTTTAGGATTTAAAGGGTGCTTGCCAGGTCTTTGACTTAACCCTCCATTGTACACACAGACTGGATTTAGGAATTAAATGGTCTGATATTGATTGCCTTTGCCTACGAGTATGTGGGGTATTGGGTAAACTTTCAGAACCTCTCCAAGATTCAGTAATGCTGAAGAATGACCCGTGTGCACTGGAGTAGATGTGTATTAGCTGTTGTTGGGTGCAGTGCTGTATATATATTTATATGTCTGTTAAGTCTAGTGGACTTAATAGTGTTATTCATTTCCTTTGTTTCCTCTTAGATCTCCTTTGTAGATAATTCTGCCCAATATTGATAGCGATGTGTTGAACTTTCCAACCATTGTTGTAGTACTGTCTTATTTCTTCCTTAAATTCTATCAAGGTGTGCTTTATACCTTTAAGTGCCCAGTGTTGGATGTTAACGTTCCTCCATTAACTGACGCTTTTATCTCACTACATGATGTCCGTCTCTATCCCTGCTAGTCCACGTTGTTACTTGGATTTCCACCCTGCACTCTTGTGCCTATTTTTTTGCATGGAGTATTTTTTTATCCTTTCACTTTCAAGGTATTTGTGTTCTCAAGTGTAAGGTGCATAAACGGTGTGCAGTTAGATCATGTTTCCTCGAATCCATTCTGCCACTCTCTCATTGGAGTACTTCATTGTAAGTACTGATAAGGATGGCTTCTGTCATTCTGTTATTTCCAGGTTGTGTGAGGTAAGCCTTCTTTTTCTTTCTCCTTCACTATTGCTTACTTTTGTTTGTTTACTGGAGTGAGCCTTTCTCTCTTTTTAAATATCTTTTTTGTATATTTTCCTAGTGATTACTATCAGTATTACAACTTGTATGTATAACATTCTTGGGCAACATGATACCACCTTATCTTTAGTGGCATACCAGAAATACTATATTTTTACCATTCTACCACCACTCCTCTTTGTGTTGTTATCACGATTTATGTCTTTATGTATGTATGTATATGTATGTGTGAACATATGTACTTATATAATGTATGTATGACTCCTTGCCTGTTAAGTTACTCTGTTACCCACCCTTCTATTATCTGACTAATTAATGTCTTCATGTTTTATGCGCTCTACAAAATAATTTCATCCTTTTATGTATCTGTTATTAAAAACAAAGGATACAAAACATTTAGGATTGTCAAACATGAATATCCCTTATTACTAGCTCTTATACTTGTCCATGCATTTCCCTTTATTGAGGACTTATCAATTTATTTAATGTGTAGCTTGGGCTGTGAACCGCAAGGTCAGCAGTTAAAAATCATTAGCTTTCTATTCCCATAAAGAGTTACAGTCCTGGAATCTATAGGGCAGGTCTTCCCTGCCCTGGAGAGTTGCTGTGAGTTGCAGATGACTCAGTGGAGTGAATTTGGTGTTCTGGTTTGGTCTTCCCCTCCATCTACTGAGCCCCGTATCTGTCATGCCAGTCTGGTGGGCATGAACTCTCTCAACGTGTGTTTGACTGAGATGGTTTTCATTTCACCTTCATTCTTGAAGGGTAGTTTCATGGGTTTAGTGTCCTGCTTGGCAGTTTTTTTCTTTTAGCACTTGAAATATATAATGTCATTACCTTCTGGCCTCCAATACTTCTGAGGAAAGATACAATGCGGCTTCATTGTGCGTGACTGTTTGCTTCTCATTCACTGCTTTCACGGTTCTCACTCTTTTATTTTGAGAGCCTAATGATGATGTGTCTTGGTATAGATATTTTGGGGTTTATTCTGCTTTTGCTTCGTGGATTTGCACATTCAAATTTTAGATGTTAGATGGGGAAATTTCCCATCATTATTTCTTCTCTCCTTCTCTCTCTCTGGTCTCCAGAATTCTCAAGATGAATATATATATATATATATTAAGATGAATATATTAAGTGTCTTGTTTTTGTCCTATAATTTCATCAATCTCTGCTCCTCAAATGACCATTCATGTTACTCTTCAGTTTCTGTAATTTTGATGACCTCCTAATTTGTTCATTCTTCCTTGTTTTTTAATGCGGTATGTGTGCTAAGATTTTGTAAAGATGTTTGTTTTTAATTCTTTATGTCACTCACTTTGGAGCGTAAGAATGATACGTGATAATTGCTAGCCAATTCTTGAATTTGAAATACACATTGATGTCTTATAAGATGCTTCTGATTTTTCCACAGAAACAGGAAATGCTGGACCTCTTTTCTTCAGTACTCTATGAATGTGTTACTCAGGAGACCCCGGAGATGTTGCCTGCATGCATAGCAATGGATCAGGTGTGCTTTGAAAGACCTTTCCAATTTTGATGAAATTTATCCTGTTTTTCAAGTGTCATGTTGATCAGTAAAGTTTCATATGTATTCATCCTTTTAGCTTCTCATTTGCTTTAAACTCTTTTCCACCTCACAGTGACCCTATAAGACAGGGTAGAACTGCTCCTGTGAGTTTAGTTATGCTTTGTGCTGGTAACCACAAGGTCAGAGGTTTGAAACCACCAGACAAGACGTTCTACTCCCGTAAAGAGTTACAGTCTCAGAAACCCACAGATTACAAAATTAGCAGGTAGTGATTTAGGAAGTTGAAACTCACTTTAAAATGTATTTTGTGTTGTAACTAAAAAGGCCTGAAGGGGTAATGCAGACACTGTGTAGCAGTTCCTAAAGCGCCCTTCTGGTCGCTGCTGTGAGTGCTTTGCAGCGCCCCAGAGACAAGCTGTTCGCAGCCGTCACTAACACCACATGCTGCAGCACCAAACCTGAAATGTAGCCGATGTATCATGTCTCCAATGAACTTTTATTTCTTTAGTAAAGAAAATCAGTCATGAACTTATCAATAGTATTGCATCTACCTTATCCCTGGGACCCCTGGCCAACCTGTGTAGCCCATCTGGTTTTCCAGAGGTAGTGCTTTGAACCATTTCATTCCAGTGTGACCCTCTGCTAGGATGTGCACTTTCTCTCCAGGTATACCGAAGCAGAATGTACAGTTTAACAAATCCCCATCGTTAGTTATTCATGAGAGTCACCTGATGATCTATATAGGAATCAGCTGGGGATCTTGTTAAAAGTAGCTTCTGATTAGTGTATCTGGAGTGGACTGCAAACTCTCAGCAGGGGAGGGAAGCAGAATACATCAGTTCAAAGCCTTGTCCAGAGGTGACTGGCTGTAGACTTGTAAGTCTTGATTATTTAGAGCCAGGGAGCCAAGAATGAGCCCACTTGTCTCCACTGCATTTACCTGAAAGCTGTTCACGTGGGACTGTACTGAAGAGAGTGAGCCATGTACCTGTACCGAGAGAAGGGCTTGTCTGGAAGGCCGAATAAGTTGCAACACGGAAGGATTCTCCAGCCTTTACTGATTTAATGAACCGTACTTTTATTTTTTCCCCCTATATTGTATGCATAATCACACAAAATATACCTTTATTATGACTGCTTACACCAGACCAAATTTTCAATGAGCTCCACAGTTTGAACTTACACTGTGCATGAACTACTCAACTATGTACAGAGAAGACTGATCTACTTTTGGAATGAAATTGGCATTCATGCCCTTCCTTTGTTCAGCTAGCTTTCAGGTTTTCTTTTTTTTAAAGATTTTTTTTTTAAATCGTTTTATTAGGGGCTCATACAACTCTTATCACAATCCATACATACATCAATGTGTAAAGCACATTTGTACATTCATTGCCCTCATCATTCTCAAAACTTTTTCTCTCCACTTAAGACCCCGGCATTAGGTCCTCACTTTTCCCCTCCCTCCCTGCTCCTCCCTCCCTCATGAGCCCTTGATAATTTATAAATTATTATTTTGTCACATCTTGCCCTGTCCGACATCTCCCTTCACCCACGAACCGTACTTTTAAAAGGCAACATGCTCTAGTACTAGTATACACCCCTGAAAAAGACATTGGAACAATTTCACCCTTTCATTCTCTTTCTTTTCAAGGCTATAAGAAGACTCGGGAGAAGAGAGATGTCTGAGACAGCTGAACTTTGGCAGATGAAGTTAGTGCTAGAGTTTTTCAGCTCCAGAAGCCCCCAGGAGAGACTTCAGAATCCCCCCGAGCGAGGGCTCTTCAGGAGCTCTGAGTTCCTCCCCGTTGTGAAGTGCACCATTGATGATGCGCTGGACCAGTGGCTGCAAGGTAGTCAGCGCATTGTAGCCTGTGTGCGGTTAAGATACCCTTGCTCAGCCTTTTCTGTTTCAATAAAACGAGAGAGATCTAAGTATACGTCAGAATGGCTACAGATTCAATATTTCCAGTTAGGTGAATTAGACTCTGATTATCTACTTCATCATCTTTCAAGAAGTATATTTACCCTGCTATACATATACATATGTCATGCAGAGAGTACATGAATGAATCCATTACTGAACACATGCTATTTTGCCAGCTTTTTATCTCTTGATAAGCACCGTTGCTCAAGTTGTTGTAGATTCTGTGATTTGCAAATCCTGTAGCACGCAGTATGGAGCCATGATAGTGAAGGGGGCTACACATGGAGCTGCTAATCATAAGATCAGTGGTTTGAGCTCACCGGTCACTCTGTGTGAGAATCCCTAAATGGGCAGGCTCCTCTGTCCTGTCGGGTTGCTGTGAGTTGGAGTTGACTTGCTGGAGTGAGTGTGGTTTTGGGTATAGTATCCTTGTAGTGGAACATTGGCCATGAGTAGAGCATTCCCTAGCTCAGTGCTCTCATTTACTCTCTCAGTGGGTTTTGGTGGTTCACAGCGTTGCCCTGAGTCTTCACCAAGTCTGACTTTCCACTCTTAATTCATCAAAATCATGTATTTCTTTTCTCTTGAAGAACCACAGTTTAAGAAACCTCTTAATGATGGGGTCTCCCCTCACCAGCAGTAGCAGTTGGCTGGGGCTGGAAGACAGTAAAGCCAACTGATTTCTTGGCTCTGCCTGTATTTTATGTCATCTGTTTTAGAACAAAACTGTTCTAGCCTGGACCACATTGAAGTCTCCCCACTAGTCTTCCTCCCTTCTAACTTTTCTATTCAGTTATCTGAACAGTCTTTAAAGAGTGAATCTATCCCAACATTCTTGCTTATCAAAACTTTTCCCAGGCTGCCTTTTCACTTGTGAGAACCTCAGTAAGTATTTTTATACTTGTTTTGGCCACAAGGCCCCCCCTGACTCCCTCACTGCTCACCAAGTACACTTGCCCTGCTCCGACCCTCTGAGCGCCTTCTCACCACAGGGCTGGTGACCATGCTGCTGCCCCTCCTTGGAGCCTTTTCCTCTCTCTCTTCATCTCCAAACCCCTGTTCTGACAACCACCATTTAAAGGCTTTGCTCCTTGTAGGTATTCCACGACCACACGACCTCAGCTAGCTTTCCCGCCATTTCTCTCTCATTCTCTGACCCCCCGCCCCAGGATCAAAACCAAAATGATTGACTGCTGGTAGCAGGCCTGACGTAACCTGATTTAAGCCATAAGGACTTGTATAAGCTTATATTCCTTTAAGTCTGTAGGCAAGATAAATCTTTTGGATTTACAAGGAGTTTCAGTGAGTCAGGTGGTGGTTATTTGACTGTGTAGTAGAAGCGGGTGGTTGCCTAAACTGGTTGTTCTTTAGAATTGTTGGTGGGCCCCATCTGTTGGCCTGCTGAGTCAGAAGATATATACTGGTATGTGTATACTGACATGTTGAAGGAAGCAGGGTCGGAAGCTTGAGCACATAGTACATTTTGTGAGTTTAGCAAGGATTCTAATAGGCATGAAAATATTAGGTTTTAAGGGCTGTAACATTTTTGTACTGTTTCATAACATCTGAAGTTCTAGAGAAAGAAGAAGTGTCTTAAGAAGACTGAGATGAGGATGTGTCCCCACAGGACTCAGTCCACCTCCACCTCTTCTCCAAATAGGAGTCTTTGATCTTGGTAGAGGACTGGGAGTGGCTAGGAGAGCCAACACCCCTGGTGCCCTCCCCTGGGTCACTCCTGTGTTTCTCCCACAGCTGGAGGAGATGTTTGTGTGCAAGCCTATCTCACTGAACAGCCGTGTGAAGAAGCCCAGCGGAGCATGCTGGCCTGTTTCCTGGTCTACCACTCAGTGCCAGCTCCCCGGCACCTGCCGGCCATTGGATTAGAAGGTAATTGCACATCTAATCCTTTATTAAAAGAGTTTTAAACCAGCTGCTCCATGGGAGAAAGTTGAGACTGTCTGTCTGCTCCTTTAAAGATTTGTAGGTTCAGAAATCCTACAAGGTTGCTATGAGTTGTACTTGATTTGATGACAGTGCGCTTGGGTGGGTGTTTTTTGTTGCTGTTTTGTTTGTTTATTACTGATGCAAGGAGCCCTAGTGGCACTGTCTGGTGAGTGTTAGATTGATAACTACAAGGTCAGATGTTCAAATCCACTAGCTGCTGTTGCAAGAGAAAGTTGAGTTTCTCCATTCCCGGAAAGATTGGCAGCTTTGGAAGCCCTATTTAGGGTTGCTGTGAGTTGGAATCCATTGATAGTAGTGTGTGGGAATGATGGCACCTGGCTCTATTTTCAGAATGTAGAAGCAGATAAGAGTTTGCCCATTAACCTAAATAACATGATTATTTATAAATGCTATCTCTTAAATTAGGATAGGAGAGAAAAGATTTTTGAGAATGATGATATTTTTCATCTACTCATTACACTTAAATTTTAACGTCATTACAGATTTCTTGCACTTTTTGGAAACCTTCACCAAAAAAGGCACCCTGGTGATTACACTCAAGGTCAGCAGTTCAAAACCACCAGCTGCTTCTCTCGAGAAAGATAAGGCTTTCTACACCTGTGAAAAGTTGCAGTCTCAGAAACCCCCAGGGCCTGTTCTACCTGACCTGCAGAGTCACTGCGAGTCGGAATTTACTCGTAGGCAGTGGGTCGTGGAGAGACTTCTGGTTTTGGTTAGGATGGAGTTGTTTGTACTGGACTGACTCTCCCACAAAAAAACAAATAGAAAAGTGGGACAAAATATATATAAGAACAGTTGAAAGTAGTTGTTCTCAACCTTCCTAATGCCGTGACCCTTTCATACAGTTCCTTATGTTATGGTGACTCCCACCAACCATAAAATTCTTTTCGTTGCTACTTCATCTCTGTAATCTTGCTACTGTTATCAATCAGGTGACTCCTGTGAAAGGGTTGTTCAACCCCCAAAGGGGTCGCGACCCACAGGTTGAGAACCGCTGCTTTAAAGGAATGGGTAGCACCCGTGCTGATAGGAAGGAACTAATGGGAAGCAAGAGTCCCCCAAAGAAAGGAAGCTCCTGGAGGAAAATCCCGATTTGCCCTAGTTTCTCCCCTGGAGGCTTTTGCTAACTCACATTCAAGACCTAAGACCCATAGCCCACAGCAGCAGGGCTGAGGGTGTTATGATTGGTGTTGTGATGGGGTGTTAATGATTGCCTGAAGCCTAGACAAGAGGAGCCTAACCTCAGGAGTGACAGTAGGGATAATACCTTAAAAACCTGGATGCTTTCTTCTCCTGAAACATCCATCAAATAGTAGCTTCCACAGGCGCAGGCAGGGTGAAACTTCAGGAAACAGCAGAAGCCAGAAGGCTAAAAAATGTAAGGCAGGATTTCAGCAGCATGGAGTCCAGGTCTGCCGAGGCCAACTGGCCCGGCGTCCCAGGTCTGCTGCTGAGGAACAACCTGGGAGGGGTGGGGGTGAGAGTGAGACAGGCCAGTCTTGAACTTTGGCCAGGGCCCAACCTGGGATCCGTTTTCACCTGCCTGACAGAAGAATTGTAACCGTTTGAGGAGGAAGAACACATCCAGAGCCTGTGCGATTCTAATACATAGTATTCAACAGCCAATGTCAGACATAGCAGATTTGAGACTAAGTAACGGAAAACCAAAAGGGAGAAAAAAATAATAAAAATAAACCTACCTATGTACAAATAAGCTTGATACAAGTGATGTATGGATTATTATAAGCTGTAAGAGCCCCCAATAGAATCATCTTTTAATGAAAAAAACAACAACAAATAAACAAACCTACATAGTACCTAGATATTCGAGTTACCAGTCTGAGGGTTGAGACTTGAGGTAACTATTAAATTTTCTAAGAAAAAAGGGGGAAAGGTAGTTCACCAGAAATCTGGAATCAAGAAAATAGAGTTAAAGGGAAATATAGAAATGGAATATGGAACCTCAGAACTGAAGAATGGATTATATGGGCTGGTTAGCATGTTGGCTGTGGGGTCAGTAGAAAGTCCACAGAGCAAGGCCCAGAGAAGTACGAATGGGAAACAGAAAAGTGCGTAAGGGGTACGTGGAAACGTCACACATCTGCGTTGGAACCCCAGAAGAATAGGAGTGAGATAATAGAATAGCGGCAATGCTTGAGGCAGCAAAGGCTAAGAATCTTCTACATGCCCCCTTAGCACGGTGAAGGCAATGAAAGCCATCCCTGGTCCCATAATGGTCAAACCACTGAAAACCAAAGGGGGACGGAAGGTTTGAGGCACAGAGGACGTCCTCCCATCGGGATGAAGTAACGAGGACCCAGCTTGCTCCTCTCTCCGAGACAACCCAAACCACCACTGTCAGGACGGAATAGCACAGGCTGAAAACCCTGGTAGTCCACTGTGGGGTCCGTGGGAACTTAGGCATGATAACAGATGTAGTGAACTTGAAGTCATACTAGAAAGTTTCCAATATGAAATCTAGAAAGATAACTGAAAAAGAAGCCGAACTGTGAGCTCTGAAGTAAGCTGCCACAAGTCATAGACCTGGCTTGCATCTTATTGGAAGAGAAGAGGAGAGAAATGGGATGACAGAAAAAATTCGAAGACCAGGCTTACTGGTTGGATAGGGGCTCATGGGACCCCCCAAACGATGGCCCTTCGACACCCTTTAAACCTGGAACTGAACTCAGCCTTCTTAGCTCAATGTTCAGCAAACAATGAGTCTCTCAGGTGAACAGTAACACCAGGGACACTCAGCTATTGGAGATGCAAAGGGCAGCAGTGGCCAGGGAGGCAGGAGGGGACACAGTCCACGCAAGGAGGATTGGGAAGAGTGCTGCTACACTGTGGAATTGCAGTCAGGGTCCCCAAACTATTTGTTCTGTAAACTTGCACCCAAATCATAATAAAAAGTGCTTTTAAAAAATCGTAAAGTAGGGAAACATAGTTACAACTATAGTAGCTAAATACATTTTAAATAGGAGCTAAAATGGAATCATAAAAATACTTTGTCCAAAAGAGCCAGAAGAAGAAGAAAAGGAGAACAGATAGGGCAAATGGAAAAGAAAAAGCAAGACAAGAGAGTTAACCTTAGCCTCATCAGTAATCCATTCTGTGTAATGGTCTCTTAGCTTCCACGGGCTGTCTCATCAGCACGCTGGAGTTCCCTTCTCTTTCTATTTGTGGTCGGTGTTTGGGTTTCTTTGAAGTCGGGGAATACTGTGGAGTATCAATTACGGAGGTAATCTGTCTTAATTTCTGGTGTGGTTTATTAACATTTAATTTCCAACCTGACTGGCAGAGCCGATAGAAGTGATGACGCTCTTCGTATTCTGTGCAGCAGTTGAACTTATTCTTGTATTAGTCACACCTTTACCAGAAAGCCACTCTGTGATATCAGAAGGCCCTCTCTGTTTTATTTTCTCTAAAGTATTGAGTGCATGGATTAAGAATTACAGTACTAGAAAGTTTTCTTTTAAAGCGTGTAATCATCGAAGGTAGGTAGGTACCTTGGCTATACTTGTTCGTAATTTTAAATTCAGTTATAGGACCCTTTCATAAGTACAGAATGAAAACACTCAATCTTTAATCGCGCCCGTTTTCGAGTGTGCACGAGGGAAATTCAACATGAATTTGTTCCGAGCTGTCACCTCTCCTCCCCGTTCTCTCCCCAGGGAGCACCAGCTTTGCGGAGCTGCTGCTCAAATGTAAACAACTGAAGATGCCCGTGCGCGCTTTGCTCAGACTGGCCCCGTTGCTCCTTGGAAGCCCGCAGCCGATGGTGATGTGATGACAGCTGGTGGCACACCTGACTCCCGCGCAGCGTGACCCGACAGGACAGCTGAGAACCCATGCTGACTGTGGTAGGACGGTGGGGCGAGTGGTGCAGAGCTCAGTGTGTCCTAATGTCCAGGCCCCAGAGATGACCGCGTTGACGTTGTATGCTAGAGAAAAGTAAGGGAAAGTTACTTTTGTAAATAAAGACTTTCTGTTTTGTTTTCAAGACCCTTGCTGATTGTTTTATTTTGCAGTTTCAAAGGCTGATAACAGTGGCAGGGGCTAAAGTGGGTATTGATTTTAAAGTCTGAACCACGGTGATTCAGGTAAATAATGAATTTATGCTAAAAAAAATACAAAGTTTTAATAAGCTAGGTAAGAAAATTTTATTTTCTGCAACAAGGGAACTTTTAAAAATTTCCTAAAATGTCACAGCTGTGCTCTGTCCAAAATATGTTTGTTTCACGTGGTAGGGGAAAGTCACTTCAACAACCAGAAGGTACACTTTTTAAACCCAAAATGAGTCATTTTGTAAATCAAGGCCATATTTCTACTGCAGTAGATGCTGAAATGGGGTGAGGTTCAGATCAGACAAATGTCCATAAAACCCTCCGCAGTGCAGGTCTGGAGTCTGCAGATGGCTGAGTGGGAAGGCTGCAGGGAGACCCAGCAGCCATCAAAACTGCCCTCCCCACCTTCACATTGAACTCTGCAGGGTCCTCAAACCTGGTCCAAAACCGGCCCCAACCTGTCTTCTGATGAGAAATTTTTGGACTGCCAGTGTGCTGGCTAAAGGACTGCTCCTCAGTTCACTCTAAGGCGAGGCTGATGCTTCTCGACTTAAATTTGGTTTCCTGAAGAGGATAGGGTAATTTCACATAGCGCCTCCCCAATGGCAGTAACTCAACTAGAAATGGAGGGCCGGACCAGTAAAGCCATCTGTACAGGGACCGTTGCGCTTTACCAGAGACCTAGCATTGGCTTATAGCGAAGTCAGAGGTCAGGGCAGAAACTGGGACAACCTGACCCAAGGAGATGGACTGATTAAAGAACAGGGTTGCTTCTGGGGACAAAGCCAAAGACTTAGCTGAGTGACCTGAATGATTTGGGACTGGCCGCCTTTGCGTCACGCTTGCTGAGGGATAAGGCACAAAGGTGTGAGTGGGACATTTGTGCCGGGTCCTGGTTCTGGGTTTGCAGCTCACGGCCGCCCTGCGGAAAGAAAGGACACCTAGGTCCAACTATTCTCACCCCAGTCCTTGGCAGCGGGGCCCGGGTGATGCAAATCATTAGAACTCTGATCCTACCCAGCTGGACTGTTCTGGAGAACTTAAGAAGAAAGTACTAAAGCCTAATGAGAGAAGCAACTGTATTACCTCCCAGGAGTATTACCTCCCAGGAGCTTTTGATGGGGCCAGATGTTCTCTGTACTACTTGACCATGAGGTCCCTGGGAAACCTTACATGTATTGAAAACTGTGTGGCCAAATCAAACTGAGAAGAAAGAGGTGAAGAGCTAAGACCATTTGGGTCTGGCAGTTGCAGTGATTTTTACGGTGAGAGTTTCAGTCACAAAGTTCCCTATCTAAAACAGCCGTGCCTGTGAGGGCAGTGGTGATTCAGGATATAATTTTCACTCTCCATCGCAGAGAGCCAGGTTTTGATTCCTGGCCAGGACACCGCCTGCCCAGTCACTGGATACTTGTGTGTCCTTTTGATGCTCAGCAGGTTTCAGGGGACCTTCTACCTGAGCTGGATGAGGGAGAAAGGCCTGGTGAACTTTTTCCCCCCCAAAAGCAGTCAATGAAAACTTTGTGGAACACAGCTGTCCTGGTCCAACCTGTCAGCAGCTGATGGCAACGCAGAGCTGTAGAACCTCAACATGATGTGGCAAGTCAAGCTGCAGAGGATTCTGAACCTAAGTTTTGCACAGTGTCTACACTCATTTCGTGTGTGTCTACATGATGCATCGCCTTCTCTTGTCTTCAAAACCCAAACTAAACTCACTGCCATCTAGTCAATTCCAAGTTGGGATGACCCTAGAGGGCAGGGTAGAACTGCTGTGGGTTTCTGAGGCGGACTCTATGGGAACGGAAAGCCTCCTCTTTTCCTGTGTTGGTTTAAACTGCTGACCTTTCGGATCGCAGCCCAGCTCCTAACCACTACACCACCGTCACATCTTTAATCAACACAATAGAGCTGGCTCTTGCTTTGAGAATGTCTGGAAATAGTTTTCTTTCAGTAGTGCTTTCAGATTTATTAGTATAAAAATATGACTGGTCTTGGTCGTATTTCCTGTTTTATATTTGTATTCGTTTGTATTTGTATTTGTTTGTATTGCATGTCTTCTTTAGATAAGGTTCCAAGCGCAACTCCCTGCAATAGAGCTCAGCCCCTCCTCCCTTCTTGTTTTCTCCCCTTTCTAGCCCCTCCTCCCCTTTGGTCATCTTCCAGACCTTTCCTTGGGTCTTCCTTCTGGGTGCCCTAGGCCTCTAAGCTGCTTCTTGGGTGTCTCCGTTGAGGCTCTGACTTTGGCAGCACTGGGTGCCCTTGGGTTCCCCATCCAGGTTATTGGCAGACCCTTCCTCAGGCAGCAGGGGACCAGTGGAAGACTGACCCCATTGCTCCCTTTGGCTGACTTTGCTCTCCAGGTGCCGGCTGCTGTGGCCCTGGCTCCCCCTGTCAGACCCTAGAGGGCCCAGGAAGCTGGAGATAGCTGCTTCTTTGTTGGCAGGTGGGGGGGG